TGTGTTATACACTAGCAAATTTAACACTCATTAAAGATGTAAAGTCAGGGAACAGCAGTAGAGTAGACTTGATTAATTTTAAACGGTTGTTAGGCTAGAATTGTTAGATGATTGGAATGAGAAGCATTTTTATTTATATGTGGATGTTGGCACATTTACATCGGCGCAAAGGTCTCCACTCATCTTAACAATCAGCCGTTTTCGAATCATTTGGTCATTCTTGATGCAAGTAGTGAAAGTGCATGGGATTTAGGTAACCAAATAAGTTCGTACGGTTGCTGTATATCGCTCATTGCCATGGATGTTGTTGATCGATAGCGACTGTTTGTTACCTGTTGTCACTTTAGTACGAATCCTTCTTTTCTCACACACATAAAAAGTTGCTGAACATTGTTACATACCCAGTTTTAATAATTGAAAATGGCGACGAACAAAACAGTAATTTGAGGTTGTTTACTGTATGAGTACAAACTTGGTACAAAAGCTGCAGCGGCGGCGCGAAAAATATGTACCCCATTCGGAGATGACGCCGTTAGTGATCGAATAGCACAGAAGTGGTTAAAAAAATTTTCTTCGGGAGATCTCAATTTGAGCGATGAGCCGCGCTCAGGGAGACCAAAACTCATGAACAACGAGGATCTTGGACAGGTTGTGGATGCAAATTCCAGGACAATGTGCCAATAACTTGCAGAAATGTTCAGAGTGAGTCCTGAAACTATTATACTAAGTGACATATAAATCCGAACACCCAGTTTAAATGGTTTAATTTTAATAAAATTTGGTGAATGTATTTATCTTACTGTAAATAACAAGTGAAAAAATTTTCAGCCTTATCAGTTGGACATTCCGGTTTTTATACTGCTTTTTTTAATTCACTAACGCTCTAAAAATGATTTCAGCCGCAGTAAAGAATCAACGTTGGCGGATTTTGGTTCTTGACATCCTTTACGATCGGTTACGATGCCCAGAGTACGGAGACCTGTACGATTTCGTCAACTTAGTGAGTTTGATAGGGGCCGTATAGTGGGACTTCGGGAAGCTGGACTTTCTTTTCGGGAAATTGCAGTTAGAGTGCAAAGAAGTGTAGACACTGTGGTTAGGTGTTGTCAGGCATGGCTTCGAGAAGGCCGTACGCAAAGAGGAAGGAGCACTGGACGCCGGCGTAGAACAACAGACCGTGAAGATCGCCGCCTAAGATTATTGGCCTTAAGGGACCGTTTCTCCACTACCAGGTCCATTGCAAATGAATGGTTTGCAGAACACGGAAGACCTATTGGTATGCGAATTGTTTACCGACGAACGAGAAGTTTTTTTTTTTATACCGGCCACACTGCGTCCTCCCTTTAACCCGAGAACACCGACGTAATCTCCTTGAGTGGTGCAGACAACGGTCACTCTGGGATCAGGAATGGAACAGTATTGTCTTTAGTGACGAGTCTCGATTTTGTTTAGGCATGCACGATGGTCGCGCCAGGGTTAGAAGGCGACGTGGTGAAAGGAGGAATCCACAGTTTTTGTTGAAAGACATGTTCATCACACTGTTGGAGTTATGGTTTGGGGTGCTATAGCTTATGGTTCCAGGTCACCTTTAATCTTCATCAGAGGTAACATGAACGGCAGCGTTATATCCACGAAGTTCTAGAAACCCATCTTTTAACCTATCTTGACACCCTGGCAGATCGAACTTTCCAACAAGATAATGCCCGACCACATGTTGCAAGAGTCACAATAGACTTCTTTCAACATAATGATGTCACATTGTTACCATGGCCACCAAGATTTCCCGACTTATCCCCAATTGAGCATGTGTGGGATATGATGGGTAGGAGATTGCTCAATTTGCAACGTCCTCCTCAGACTCTAGAAGCACTTCGAGAGGAGTTGGTGGTTGCCTGGAATGAGATACCACAGGAGGACATTGACCACCTGATCAGAAGCATGTCTAGGCGCGTTGGAGAATGCGTAGCACATCAGGATGCATCCACACATTATTATTGGTCAAAGGGCTTTAAAGCAGTGCAATCATTTTGAAATTTTTATCATTTACTTATTATGCTTCATTAAGTACTTATACAAAACTTTATTAAAATAAAACCATTTAAACTGGGTGTTCGGATTTAAATGTCACTTAGTGTAGTTTGACACCATACTTGTGCATTTGATTGGGAATATACTGGCGAAATTTTAATCGACCTCTGAAAGGAACCATTGACTCGTCGATAACCAGAATTCTGCCAGGAGTTAGAACATTTTGAATCTTCCTGTTAAGTACTCCCAATACTGTTCTGATTTTGTACAAGCGGTCGTTAGTATACAAAAATGGGTCTTCGTTGTTGCAAAAATGTGAACATCGAAGGAAAAGTAGAAAGATATCACGTGATATTGTCTTTGCTATGAACTCATTTCTTAACATAGGATCTTTTGACCAGTAGGAATTAACTGACGGAAGCGAGTTAAAACCCATTACTAGAATAACTGAGAAAAAACGCATGAGCTCGTTTTTATCTGTGTCCACCCCAACATGTAACCTGGACCTCGAATTCCTACGTCCTGCTATGCTTTGTTGGGCGAATCTGTTCGTCTCTTCAATAATGATGTGTCAAAGTTCATCTGTCACAAAAAGTTTGTAAGCATCCAGTGGACTTAGAATCTGACTCACGTCCAAATTAAGTTCAGGTGACTCATTACAGATGTTGAAAGGTAACTGCCCTTGAACAATGTCTTGCCAATTATTAGTATAGAGCACAAAAGACGGCATCTTCCCATTTTCATTATCTATGGTGTCACAAGCTTCACTATCATTAGCTGTATCTGAGTCGGAATCATCGGCCTCGGCGGCACTACCTAGATGAAACATAAAAGACAGGAAATTTTAACAGAAACATGCATTTTGTTAGAAATATATGCCTTCGATTGTATCATCAAACAGATTATGTGGATTTTCATCAGAATCTGATGAAGATGGATAATAGTCTTTATCTATGATAGAATCATCACTGCCAAAGTCGGAAAATTCGTCTCCACTTATAACATAACTTGTTCCAGGATTATTTGTTTGTTCTCCGTCGTCTGCTGACTCTGCTTCAACAATTTCAATTTTATTTTCAGGTATATTTGCTTGCGTTCCAGGATTTGTGGGCACTGCTCCAGTATTTTGTAGATCTTTAGTTATTTTCGTAATTTTTTTAACGCGAGAAGAAAACATTTTTGGTGAGGAAACCAAATACACAACTTCAGTCGCTCGCATTCGGTACACAAATGACAGCGAAACAGGATCAGACACGTTTGTTCGTATGATTATATACTAAGTGACATATAAATTCGAACACCTAGTAAATGGTTTTATTTTAATAAAATTTTGTATAAGTACTTAATGAAGCATGATAAGTAAATGATAAGAATTTCAAAATGATTGCACTGCTTTAAAGCCCTTTGACCTTTAATAATGTGTGGATGCACCCTGATGTGCTACGCATTCTCCAACGCGCCTAGGCATGCTTCTGATCAGGTGGTCAATGTCCTCCTGTGGTATCTCATTCCAGGCAATCACCAACTCCTCTCGAAGTGCTTCTAGAGTCTGAGGAGGACGTTGCAAATTGAGCAATCTCCTACCCATCATATCCCACACATGCTCAATTGGAGATAAGTCGGGAGATCTTGGTGGCCATGGTAACAATGTGACATCATTATGTTGAAAGAAGTCTATTGTGACTCTTGCACCCTGTGGTCGGGCATTATCTTGTGGAAAGTTGGATCTGCCAGGGTGTCAAGATAGGGTAAAAGATGGGGTTCTAGAACTTCGTGGATATAACGCTGCGCGTTCATGTTACCTTTGATGAAGATTAAAGGGGACCTGGAACCATAAGCTATAGCACCCCAAACCATAACTCCAGCAGTGTGATAAACATGTCTTTCAACAAAAAACTGTGGATTCCTCCTTTCACCACGTCGCCTTCTAACCCTGGCACGACCATCGTGCATGCCTAAACAAAATCGAGACTCGTCACTAAAGACATACTGTTCCATTCCTGATCCCAGAGTGACCGTTGTCTGCACCACTCAAGGCGATTACGTCGGTGTTCTCGAGGGAGGACCCAGTGTGGCCATATGAAAACAAGCCAAAACTTCTCATTCGTCGGTAAACACTTCGCATGCCAATATGTCTTCCGTGTTCTGCAAACCATTCATTGCAATGGACCTGGTAGTGGAGAAACGGTCCCTTAAGGCCAATAATCTTAGGCGGCGATCTTCACGGTCTGTTGTTCTACGGCGGCGTCCAGTGCCCCTTGCTGTTTGCGTACGGCCTTCTCGAAGCCATGCCTGATAACACCTAAGCACAGTGTCTACACTTCTTTGCACTCTAACTGCAATTGCCCGAAAAGAAGGTCCAGCTTCCCGAAGTCCCACTATACGGCCCCTATCAAACTCACTAAGTTGACGAAATCATACAGGTCTCCCTACTCTAGGCATCGTAACCGATCGTAAAGGATGTCAAGAACCAAAATCCGCCAACGTTGATTCTTTACTGCGGCTGAAATATTCATTTTTAGAGCGTTAGTGAATTAAAAAAAAGCAGTATAAAAACCGGAATGTCCAACTGATAAGGCTGAAAATTTTTTCACTTGTTATTTACAGTAAGATAAATACATTCACCAACTTTTATTAAAATAAAACCATTTAAACTGGGTGTTCGGATTTATATGTCACTTAGTATACATAGGTCTCCGGAGACCTATAACGCTCTCCACTAATTATTTTGATATGTCTGTGCGGTGTAGGTCTCCGAGACCGATATAGTTTTTATACAATTTTCCGTCTCTGCAAGTTCTCACGATCTTATAGCTACATGTTTCGCATTTATAAATTGTATTTTAAGGAAAATATGCATTCCGCACCAAAACGGAAATTTGAAAAAACCAGCTCCGCATCAAAATCAAGTTTGATAACGGTCTCGGGAGACCGATATAGCAGTCAACGTGTTAAGAGCTCTTTCTTTCTAGGTCGTGCCAAAATCAAATCTTCCTTATAAGACGTGAAGTACGGAGTGTGATAATCGAAAACAGCAACAGTAAAAAGGACCGAAACAGAGAAAGGGGAGAGAGCGGGAGCAGCGCCAGTGCCAGCGAACGTTCAGTTCCAGAAGTGCGCGCGTGTGATATGACAATAATTACAGACCTCTGCGAGCAGGAAAACGGGAGAGAACGGCAAAGCAGAAAGAAGCCATCTCTTTGTGTGCGTGCGGTGCGGATCTGGCTGTGACAGATCCACCACTACCGCAGAGGGTGCATTTAGGGCGGCATTCCATTTCGCCGCCCCTTACGCACTTTACTTTGCTATACCTACATAGAGAAAGGAATCGCGAGCTGCTTTTGTCACAACTCATAATTAATTTTTGTCTTTGAAAGGTTATGTTGTGTCACTAGAACACACAAGATAACTGCTTATAAAGGGTTATCTATTACTCATAATTTCATAATTTTTGGTCTGTGTCTGTATCTTTTTACACATATCGGTGGTTTAGGATGGGAAGGACATACTGTTTTGATTGCTTTGAAGAAATTACTATTATGATGCAAAGAAAGATGAGGAATTGGTTGGAATACATTTTATATTCTAATTTCTTGCAAAATACAGACAAATCCGCACATTTCAACAGGTATGTAGCTATAATGATAACATGTAAACACTCAGTATGTAGAACTAAGCAAGTTCGAGATTGCATTGCCCCACTTTTTCGTTATTTTTGTACTAATTTTTCGTTAGGGTCGATAGTTCGATAGTATGATAGTTCGACAGTACGATAGTTCGATAATACGATATTTCGATAGTACGATTGTTTTATTTATTTCGTTGGGTTTGTCCACTTTTTACGTTAGATTTGTCCATTTTTTTCGTCAGGACTTTCGCATTTCATTTTGTTAGGTTTGTCTCACTGTTTTTCATTAGGTTTGTCCCATTACACTGATCAACAGCCAAAAAATATCCTAAATAAAATCAAAAAAATATTACTATTTTTAATGTGCTAAAACCGGAATGAAACTTATTTTTTCAATATTAGTTCAAGTTTTAGAGATACGGTAATTATATGTGTTCCTGCTGTGACAGTGTTAATATACTGTAATTCACAAGAATGCACGTGCTACATTTTTATATTCGGCAAGGAAAGGTGATGTAATCGGCATGATTGTGTTACGTTATACATACGTGTACATTATATTGTTTTATATTAGCCATTTTTTCCTCAGTTGGCTGACAGCGTTCATGCAAGATGTCTCGAAGTGTGTAAACAATCCAGATCAGTTTTGTTACGTGCGTGGTGACTTTTGCGTATCAGAGACGGTCTATTACTCCACTAATAACAAAGGCATATCAGCTTTATTTCGGTTGTAAACTAGGTGATCAAGACAAACAGTGGGCACCCCACATCTGCTGTAATACATGTGCTTCAAGTCTGAGGAGCTGGTTAAATGGCAAAAAACGGTCCATGCGCTTTGCTGTCCCAATGGTTTGGAGAGAGCCTACAAATCATATTAATGATTGTTACTTTTACATGGTACCTTGTGCTGGACAAGCCACAGGTATGTCCAAGAAAAAAAAATCGGTTATTAACTACCCAAACATACCATCTGCGATGAGACCTGTGCCTCACAGTGACGAAAATCCTATTCCAAAACCCCCAGAATCCTACACCGCACAAAATAACACAGTCAGAGTTAAATGATCTTGTAAGAGATTTAGAACTTCCAAAATATAAGGCAGAGTTACTTGGATCAAGACTGCAGCAGTGGAACTTGTTAGAAGAAGATGTTTCGGTATGTGTTTTTCGTAAACGCCACAAAGACTTAGAACCATTTTTCAATATGGAGAATAACTTGGTTTTCTGCAGTAACATTAACGGCTTACTGGCGGCTTTAAATATAAACTATAACCCAGAAGAATGGAGATTGTTTATAGATAGTTCAACATTGAGTTTAAAGGCAGTGTTATTGCATATTGGAAATATTTTACCATCTCTTCCTGTAGGGTATGCAGTTCACATGGAAGAATCATATGACAATATGAAGTACCTATTCACATGCATAAAATACGATGAGCACCAATGGCATATTTGTGGCGATTTGAAAGTTGTTGCACTTTTACTTGGGCTGCAGCTAGGCTACACAAAGTTTGCTGTTTTTTGTGTGAATGGGACAGTCGGGCAAAGGCACTTCATTACACCAGACAAAACTGGCCTGTTCGTCAATTCCTAGAGCCAGGTCAAAAAAATGTACAGCATATGCCATTAGTAGATTCGAAAAAAAATGTATTACCACCACTGCATATCAAGTTGGGCCTAATGAAAAACTTTGTCAAGGCATTAGATAGAGATGGGGCAGCTTTTCAATACCTGCGTCAGAAATTTCCAAGACTAAGTGAGGCAAAGGTTAAAGAAGGTATTTTTGTTGGGCCACAGATTCGAAATATTTTGAAAGATACACAGTTTGAAAACACTTTAACAGGTATTGAAAAAACTGCTTGGAATTATTTCCGTCTGGTGGTCACTAATTTCTTGGGAAATAGAAAAGCTGACGACTATAAAACCCTTGTCAAAATATGCTGTCATCGTATCAACAGATGGGCTGTAATATGTCTCTTAAGAGACATTTCCTACACTCACACCTGGACTTTTTTCCTGACAATTGCGGAGCCGTAAGTGATGAGCACGGCGAACGTTTTCATCAGGATATTTCAACAATGGAAAAAAAGGTACCAGGGAAAGTGGAATCCTTCCATGCTTGCAGACTACTGTTGGACTCTTGGTAGAGATGCTCCAGAAACGATCCATAAAAGAACAGCAAAAAGACAGCGCATATACTGATTCTTATAAGTATATGAATCTTGTTACTTTTTTTAATATATCCTTGAAAATAAAAAGTTTTTTTTCTAAACCGCAACTAATTTTTTATTTCATTGTCATTTTTGGATTCAGCGCCCCAAAATTAACAAAGAAGTGTACTTTTCCCACAAGATACAATTAAAAAACTAAAATTTGTTGTCCAGTGTTATTTTCGTTAAGTTTGTCCCACTTATTTCGTTAGCTTTATCCTACTTTCTTCGTTTGGTTTGTCCCACTTTTTTTCGTTAGGTTTGTCTCTCTTTTTCCGTTTTAGGTTTGTTTCCTTTTTTTTGTTAGGTTTGTCCCACTTTTCTCGTTTGGTTTGTCCTACTTTTTCGTTAGGCTTGTCCCACTTTTTTACTTTAGGTTTTTCCCTCTTTTTCGCTAGGCTTGTCTCACTTCATTTCATTTGGTTTGTCCCACTGTTTTCGTGGGGTTTCTCTCACTTTTTCGTCATGTTTGTCCCACTTTCTTTCGTTAGGTTTGTCCCACTTTTCCGGCACCACATCTGACCTAAACCGATGTGATTTTCAACGAGATACCTCCCGTCATATTCACTACCATGGAAAATACCTCGATGCTCTGCATCTCAGCGTTTGTGCTTCTGTAATAGTCAATACCACGTTTTACTAGCACTGCCAAACCGCCACCCCGTCCAGTTAATCTATCAGCGCGGATAACATCATAATTCGGGAAAGCTAGACGATCTCCCGGATTAAGCAATGTTTCCCGCAGCAGAGCCACATCTACGTTCTCATCCAAAAGAGCTTGATCAAATTCCCGTTTTTTGGGGACATCCCTAAGACCCAAACAATTCCAGAAAAGAAGTTTGATGAATTCAGGCTGTCTGCTGTTGTACCTAGCCATTTAGCGGAAAGATCGCCTGCAATGCCTTAGTGGCGCTTATCAGGGGACTAATAATCTGCAGTAGGGACCTGAGCCTATTGCTAGGTCCACATTTTGAGCAGTCGTAGATGAGCTCGAAACAGCAGGGGCAGTTGAGGTGTCATCTCTTGCCGCGTCCGCGTAGGACTTAGTAGGAGTAAATCTACAGGTCGGACTATTTGCCGGATGGTCCCCCCCACAGTTCGCACATCTGCGAACCTCTTAGACACCTTGGCGGCGCAGTGCAATACGACTGTGCGTGACCATACTTCTGGCAGCGGTGACACTGCCCAATGAGTCGAGAGTTTCTTCTGAACTTCGACTCTGATAGAGAGCCCCAGCAATTCGTGCTCGTTGAACACTTGCTGTGACTACTCCGCCTTAGGCAGGATCACCACCATCAAGGGCATGGGCACGCCGCCGTTGCGCTTTAGGCGAATGATGTGAAAGGGAGCGTAACCCTTCTGTTCTAGCTCATCTTTGACCTTCTGTTCGGTGGTTGCTGCTGGGATACCTCTGATAACCGCAAGTATGTTGCGTTCAGTGAGCAAAGGGAAAGTGTGATGAGGAATGTTTTCCTCTTTAAAAGACGGATTATCCTGCGATAATCGTCTTCGGTTTTGGGGATGATACGTATCCCAGCGTCAACGGCGACTGCTCGTTCAATACGCATACCAAGACTTACAAAGGAATAGTTTAAGGTGCGCCATTTTGTAGCATCTCTCAACACGATTGGAGTAATACCCACCTGGCGAGGCGATTGGGCCTGTCTGTTTAGAGATCCGCTGGATGGCAAGGAAGATGGATTAGACTGCACTTGGGGTATAACAGGAGGAGCACTCTGTGTGGATGCTGATAAAGGCCTTTCCCTTGGCTGACTAGTAGAAGCGGTAGAGGGTATAGAGACAGACGGTTTTAGGTTGCCTGAATGTTTATTTGGGGATTTCATCGGTAGCGGAGGAAATTCTGTTTTGCGAAGTCTCACTTTGCGACGTCGCACAGGTGTGAAAAGATCACCCTGTATGTCCTCATCAGTCTCAGTATGTAGGTCGCTCGAATGGCTGTTACGTCTACGTTTTGCTGTTTTGGAAGAATCAATATTGGGAACTGTTTTATGAATGGTACTTGTAAGCTTAAAAACATGGAATTGAGTGACTCCTCACAGTCAGTCAGTCTCTGAACTGGGCTGCTTGGTCTACAATTATCTCTGGTTCTCGTTTTCCTTCTCCAGTATCGGTGTCATCCCTGATGTCATCATTGGCGTCATCTCGTTTCGGTTTTCTGGAATATGTCCAAAGTAGCGCTGCACTCCGCGCCAATTCCACTCAAAGCAGTAGAGGGGTCGCCTGGGGACCCCTCGGGTTCAGCTTCCATAATATTATGCCTTCTTTCTTGCCAAAATATAAAAATTTCTCCGGATGCAAAAATTTGGCAATTAATGGCAGATGATGCATATCTGTCATTTATCGTTAGTTGATTCACTTTTTCGGCCTATTATTCCTTGCACTTTCATTGGTGGGTTAATTAGGCGCTCCGTTATCCGTAAATTGATAAGAAATAGCAAAATACATGAATGTTGTCATGTTTTCTCTCTTAGAAAGCATCATGATGGAATCAGAACTGCCCTTGTTTCTAATACAATCTCCTTTTCACGATTTTAATTCAATATTTTAATAGAAATCACTGATATTCAGAGAGTTTTGAAAGCTTCCGTCAAATTCAATAAGGTCTTTTCCCATTGGTCCAACTAACCAAATATTAATGTTGGTGAAATCGATCCTTAGTGAATTTTTTAGTAACGAACACAGAAAAACATTTGTCTCCCGAAAACGATGCCTGTTTTTATACGAGACAAAAATGAAGTGAACAAAAGGATCTTTCAGATAAGGTGGGAGAGTTGCAAAAGGAATCTGCTCCAATTTATGCAGGGGTGGGGGTAGTTTTCACCATTCTGGAATCCTCGTTTTTTTCTATAGAAGTCAAATATTAGGACGTCCAGCAAAACACATGTGTTCCAAATTTCATTCACATCGAGCTATCGAGTCCAAAAATGTCTGAAAGATGTGTTTGAAAAAGAAAACTTTGACGCCCTCTAACAGTCGAACGAAGCATTGTATGAAGGTAAATCATGTCCAATCGACTTACGTTCAATCTCAAAATACGTGATTCTTCTATGTCCCCGGAATATTGGGACACCCTGTATACACATGACGCTGTGGGCATTTTTAACACGCTTTTATTTTAGCTTGGCCTGTATATGGGGTCATTCTAAAAATTTGAGACAATATAGGAGGTGAAAGTGTAATCGACCAAAGGTTTCGATATTATCACTTTTTTCAATTAAGTTGCATGGGATATTGCTTTCTAATAATGTTTAGGTGTGTGGCCAAAATCTAAGTCAAAATTTTAGATTTTATTGATACAAAATCAAAATTTGTGTCCACGGAGTGGAATGGGTTTTCCACGGAGTAGAAATTTCATGTAGTTTTAACATTTATTTATTGTTTAGAAAAATATAAATAACCGCGACATTAATTTTATGTTGACATGTTCTCTTAAAAAGAAAATAAATGATATATTCTTATTTTTTGTTTTAAAACAAAGAAACTACAAACACAAATTTTAAGAATAGATAGGTAATAACTAAGTTTAAAAATAACGACCGAATAAAACGAAACATAAAAAGAAACGTACAAAATATAGTTCATTTTAATAATGTTGCTAATGCATAGTCATCGTCGCTATCGTCGCATATTGAACAAGTGAAAAAAGCGTTCTTGCTGCCCTTGTTGCACATGCCACAGATCTATTTTTGGCAATTTAAGCATTGAATCCATTCAAGATTATTTTTCGATTTACTGTATAGAGTTAAGCATATACCACATTTTGCGTTATCATCTTTACGTTGTTTTTTAACCACCTTTTACAGATTTAGTTTTAAGTTTCATTTGTTCCTCTTCATTTTCGGAATCTGTGTAAATGTCGGAGTAGGCAACTTTTTTTGGTCTGTTCTGTTTTATTTCGTAATGTCCCAGACTATAGTGAACGCATCTAACAGATTCAGGACAAACAGTGCAACTCAAGCGACGTAATTCCAAATAATCAGGATTGTTGTTGTCCAACAGGCTTGGTGCACTTCATCGTTCCAACAAAGTTTTAATACCGCTGATGGGTATCTTGTTATCAAATTCTGAAATATTGCTTGAAGAAATGATGACGATTTCCATTCCTGGGCATGCCTTTGTTAGATGAAAAACCTATAACTCCAAATTTTGAAATCATATTGACACCAGACGATCGGCGGTTCGTTTAAGACAGCCGCCTACACCATCTACAGCACTTTTACCGTGTCCACTTTCAAAGTAGTTCCACGAAATTGCCTCTACATCTAACAATTTGGGAATTTCAGTAGCCATTAGGTAGAACATGGATCTATTGCGATACTGGGTGCTTGGCCCGTCACTGCAGATGTAAACTTTCTTAAGAAATGGCATTTTTACCTTAATGTGCTTAATTAAAGGTTTTAAATTGAACTCTAGATATTTGTTTATTTTTAGGTCTATTCAATTTGTATGTGCCACAAATCTTATTCATTTCACTTGTCAAATGATACTGTTTGATAATCTTTCCAGACGTGCATTTTATAAACTGCCTTTTAGCCTTGTAGCTTGTGTTTTATAGAAATAAAGTTGGCAGATAGTTGTTTTCTTAAAACTTCTCCAACAAAGATTTTTTTCTGACTTCTGTAGAAACGCTTTGACCTTTTAACAATTTTTCGGTGTTTGTTAAAGGTGAATTTTTCTTGATTTTTTTATTTTTACATCTCTGTAGTCTTGTTTTATACCGCTGCGTTAATTTTTTGTACTTCTCTACTTTTCTCTCCAATTCCTTTAATTTTCTTACAGTTGCTGAGCGCTTCCTTAAAACCTTTTTTCTTCCAGTGCTTGATCTCCCTGAAACATTTGCTACATCCTGATTGTTTTCAATTTCGTTTAGATCTCTGGTAGGTGTTGCCGGAGGAGTGTTTTCTTTTAGCATCTCCGTAGCTCTGGTTACAAGTTTTTTGTTTGTACTACAACTCCGTTTGTATTCTTTCCACTTTTTCTTAATCTTTTTTTCTCCCTTCTGGATACTTCCCCAATAAGCTTAACTTTGCCTTGTTTTTTCGCTCATAATATCTTTCTCTTTCCTGTTGCTTTGCTTTTTCATATTGCTCTGGATTGCTTCTTACTTTCTCTCTACATCTGCGTTCACAATCTCTTTTTTGCTGCCTTCGCTTCTCTAAGTCTACCTTTGGCTTCGCCATATTTTTGCTAAAACAAAAACCTATTAAACCACATGATTAGCATAGTCTTATAATTAATTTAAATTAAAACGTATTCTTCTAAGGTTGAAAAACAATTACTTTTTCTACTCCATGGACACCAATCTGCTCCATGGACCTACAAGAGTCCATGGAGCGGAAGTCCAGGGAGTGGATTTTTTTTGGAAAAAAATAGCTTTACGCTCGCAAAACAAAAAACACAAAGTAATTTGTACATAAAATTAAAATGCCAATAAATGGTCACCTAACCGCAATATTTTTATTTAAATTTTACTTGCTCAAATCATTTTAAAACCTCCCATGGAGTGGAAAACAATAAAAATACGCACCTGCCAGCGCTCACTTCGACTGTCACTACCACTAATCCGCACAAAATTGGGCGATGCTTGCATGTCGAGCGACAAAACTAGACTGAAGCACGAGTACCGACGGGCCTTCGCGCGCTTAAAGATGCAATACCAACCATAAGGAGCAAAATTCCCCTAGGTCCACGGAGTGGAACTCAAATGTGGTTACACACCTTTTTACATAATTTTAATGATTATTTTTAGTAATAATTATTTATTTTGGCTATAGCATTATTACTATTGACATTTAATCTTTTGATAAAAACGATTGTTGTGACCCGAAACTATGTAGAGTTTCTGAAATAAAGCAATATCTTAGCAAAACGTGTTGGTTACAGTCCATGGAGTGGAATTTTGGTACTTTTGGACAGTTTTTAAAAATATTTTTAAAGTCAAATTTAAAAGTTTAATAAGTGATCCTAACAAAAGATATTTCATTTTATTGCCTAAGCATGTTAGATAACTAGAGCGTACTCTTGTTTAGTAATTTTGGATGGTTACATCAAATCGTCCCAAATTTTGAGAATCACCCATATAGGTATGAATGTAACGGAATCTTTGAGCATAATTTTCACCAATTCCAGAAGTTTGATTAATTTGAAACTTCGCACACGTATCAAGGACCGATGTCAATGCAACAATTTGATAACATTATCCTTAATAGGACCGCCAGGATTGATAAATTCTGTCATTGATCCTCTGTTGGGGAGTAAGAGAGATAGAGCTAGCGATCTGCGCATGCGTGCAGTTTCGGACTTACTCTTTGTTGATTGTTAATACCTTAAATTTTATTATAATTTCATTTTGAGGTCATTAATTATGATTGATTGTTCGCCAATCTGCTACTGTAGATTAAACATTATTTTCTACTACTACGGTTAGCTATAAAAGCGTGTTTTAGTTTTTTTAAACTATTACTTTTAGTTTAACAGTCCAGCTGAAGAGCATGCGTATTATCCGTTCGCCTGTTGGAACCTGCCGATTATCAGTAACCGTCCAGTTAACGTTAAAACAAAGGTCCATCCTCCAACCATACCCTATATGACAACATCCATCCAAAGCGATAATCCGTCCGCAATGTGGCTGACAGTGGCTCCAGTCCCTGATAATAGAGCCCCAAAGCCGCACCGAGGGCGCTCCATCTATTCCGGTCGACCGAATCGTCAAAGTCAGTAAGGCAGGAGTAATGCACATAAAATCCCTCATTAAACCAGTGTGTACACACGGCCCCACGGCCGCCATTTAGACAGAGGACAGACGCACATATCAGGGACAGAAGAGCAGCGCGTGGCCACGGAGGCTGCACACGACAGCTCAACCGGTGCTTGGACACTCCCTGCTCGTTATCCCGTTCATCTATCATCGCACCATCAACTGCGTGTAACGGATTTCTACATATTATATGTTGCATTTTGGAATATTGAATTAGCAACCGGTATCAGTTCATAAAGGATGAAGTGCGGCGCAATTTAAATCCTCTGAGAAAAAGCTCAGCTACGATCATGTACAACAGAGAAATTAAAGGAATTAAGTCATCCAAACGAGCCCATGCAATTAGTCCATAATATTATTTCCCTGTCCTACCGGTACTTGCTGTTCATCTGGCAACGTTGTCCCTTTCCACATCTGCACGGCAATGCGGCATCGCTGCAGCGAGTTATCGTTCATTTCTTGCTAGGTCCGTGTATATGTTTTTTGTGCTGCAGTATCGATAGATTAGCCTGCCGAATCGGTTTGCCGGGTGGAGAGCTTACATAGCAGGAGTACGCGGATCGAAAACATCTCCTCATCGTTAAACATTTTAAAGGCGAATGTACGGGGAAGTATATACAGACATAATTACAGGGGTTGGGAACGTATAAATATACTAAGATCAAAACATTTTCATATACCTCACCCCACCTCCTGCAACCCCGAACCCTTAAATTTCAACCTCTACAAAATTTTTTCGGACAATGATCAGGACCCTCTGAAGCGCCAACAAAAACGAAGTTGTAGCGATTTTATTTTTTTTTGTTTTTGGATTTTAAAAAACCGCAAAGCTTTTTCGCGCTTAGCATGGTAGCAACCTTATGTCAAAATTTTATCAAAATCCTAGTGGTACTTCTAAAGCTATGGATGGGCCAATGATTATCGGACAGACAAACAGACAGACCGAAGAAAATAAATGACATGATTTTTCGTGATGTATATATATGTCATATAACATCTAAAAAAATAATTCCTCAGTTTCTAAATTACTCGCGATTATAATACTTCCCCGATGGCGTAGGAAGTAAAAAATGGTGTCATACCACCAGTTAAGGCCAATGATTTCAATAGCTCGTTTTTCCTGCATAGGGTCTAATTTTAGTATACATAGACGTGTAATATTAATCAGCGATTACAATGAATCTTGCTTCTTATCACCGCATTAACTTTGTACCCGCTAAAATTGATTCTTAAGGTGCACCTAAATGAGCAGTGTAAGCCCATTAAACGTATGAAGTCTGGGGTAAACAAGGTGCATGTTTCCTTGAAAGAAGTGTAATTACAGTCTCATGATTTGCCTTTTTTATATTAGGTGGAAATGGTAGCTACCCGGAAAATTCTTTGGGTAAAATTTATTTTTAAGTACCTTCGTCAGGATGTCCAGAAAATTGGCGAACACACGTCAATAAAAAGTCTTCAGAGTACAACAGAGTACTACAACATACAGGGTGACTTCGAAGTTGAGTCATTTATTTTAACAGTGAGTAGATATGATCAAAAGAAATGTTTTTTTCCTTTACCATTTTTCTGGTAAAATTAAAGTAACAAAGTTATAGCCCTTTGGAAGTTTGAGTACCGCCCTGTCTCAATAATATCATGTACTCGTGTTTGGCAACAACGGATATAATCCACCTTATCGGTTCATCGCATCGGAAACAAAAAAGCGAAAGAATTTGGAACGATGTTTATTTTATTCAGTTCAGTTATACTCGTACATACAGTCGCGTGTGAATAGTGTCTGTTGCGTGGCTCAAACGAAATAAAAAATGGCACATGTTTATGCGGATCGGTTTCCCAATCGAGTGCAACCAACCCCTCGTGCCTTTGTTAATGTAGTACAACGGGCTCGTGAATCAGGTGACTTCAGACCTCACAGGGGACCTCACGATCAAATACAGGTCCGCACTGAAATACTTGTCGGGAGGATACTTTATAAAACAAGGTTTATTTTTTTTATTTTTATACACATATTTTGGTTTATCTTCCTTCTACAATCATTATCTGAAAATTAATGACTCAACTTCAAAGTCACCCTGTATATTGATCGCGCAGTTATACAGGGACTTTCCTTTTCAGAAACAGGTGCGCTTGAAATAACAAAGTGGTCAAACTCAAGTAGTGCTCTGTGACTTATACGTACTGTTGGAAGTTGTGGATCTTGGTAAAATGTTTCGTGGAAAGTAGAGGTATTGTAAAGCTTTCAGACAATTCAGGAAAATAAAAGGACCAATGAGCATATCATTTAACATACCAGCCCAAAATATTCAAAGAAAGTGTTAGGATATTCCAATCACCACACATGAGTATTTTCTAAGATATTCATCACGTTACGTGTGAAGGTTGATTCGTCCGTGACTAATATCCTCACCTTGGAGGGCTTGTACAGAAGATTGTAATCCATCACCACGTATTGTTTATCAGACCTTAGTCTTGGAGACTTGGACTTGTCTAACCTCTTTCCTAGTGCTTGTTGGTGGATTTTCTTCTAAAAGAATCAATACTCATCCCATTTCTACAAAGCGACCTGTATCCCTAGCTCTTGTTACAAGGTAAACAATGATGACGTACGGGAAAGCGATCTGCATACACTCGCGTAGCCTCGGTAGCATTTTTGAGATGCTCACCATACGTTAAAATCATATTGACAACGTAGGTATTACAAATGGTTTTGTTTTTGGTAAATGAAGGTACGTTGCCGGCATCTGGGTTAAGTAATGGCGTACGTGTCGTGCCTTCACTTTGATATGATCGAGA